TTCGTGTTATATTTTGCGGCTTTTGTTCGATTCGTTTGTTCATTTTTACGGAATAATAATAATAATAATAATAATTTATTATTATTATTATTATTATTATTATGTTTTTATACCTTTCTACGATTGTTACGAAACGTTTTTGAAAGTTTTTTGTTTTGTTGTTTTCAAACCGTTGCGATAACATTTAAAATGTCGTTTGTAATTTATAACATTGAAAAAAAATTATTTGTCATCGTTATGGAGTGATTTAATATGAAAAACAAACAAACAAACAAACAAACAAACGAACAAACGCGATCTCACGCTGAATGGATAATTTTTTTCTTTTATGAGTATTCGTTGTGATTGTTCTAGAAAATGATTGATTGATCGATTGATTGATTTATCGTGTGGAGGTGCATGATTTTGCTTTATGACTGGAGAAAAAATAAAAGCTGGAATTGCTGGAATATGTTGCGAATATGTTTATTTAAGTAAAAATATTTATTCAATAACCGAACCTGAAAATGTGAAAGGACCGTAGTAAAAGTTTCACGGTCAAATTCCAGAATCCGTGTATTATTGCAACGCCCCATTTGTGCACACAACGTTCCAAAATGTTAAGAAAGGAGGGGGAAAGGGGGAAGAGAGAGGAAGGAGGGGGGGTTTGTTCAAAATAGGGATTAATATTTTTTCGGTTTTTTTTTTCTTCTTCTTACCTGTTTAAAAAGTTGATGATGATAACCCACTAAGGGTTGATTTCCCGTAATCCTATCGATAGATAATCTCAAATTAATCCAAATTCGGATTAAAAATTTTTAAATTTTTAAATCACTAATCATATTTATTATTATTATTATTAACAAAAAAAATAATCGATGTATCGATCGATCGATCGATCGAATACAAAAAAAAAACAACACGCGTTAAATTATTATTATTATTATTTTTTCACGTAAAAATTTTCACAAAAACTTTTCGTTTCTCCATGATACATAACTGGAAGAAAAGAATTCGATGAGAAATAATAATAAGGAAAAAAAGAAAAAATAGTTCAATTTATTAATCGTAAGATGAACGGGGAGGTGATAAGGAAATAAAGGGGTAGAAAGAGTTTTTTATGATTTTTTTTTCTTAAAATTACATTACGAGTTTAACGAATGTTGATGACGTTGGTAATATGTTTATCGTTATCGTCGAAATCTTTTTAAAATTTTTTGTTTTAATAAGAAAATTCCATCTGTCGGACAGGTGGGAAACTAATAAAAAAAAAGTAAACGGTACTTTTACGTTTGGGCATGACATTTTAATTCGAGGGACTTTAAGGTTAATTTAAAAGAGAAGGTGAATGTGTTGCGGATTGTTTAGAAGGAACCGCCGTCGGGTACTCCTCGTATTTCCCCCTCCCCCAAAAAAAAAAAAAATTTTATGCCGATTTAACGCGGTGTCTTTTGCCACGTTTTCTCCCCCCCTCCCCCCCCAAAAAACCGTAAATAAAAAAAAAGGAAATAAATCATCGTCGGGTTAAGTAGTAATCGGATCTTTTCGAATTTAATTTAATCGTTTTCAAAAAAAAAAAAAAAAAAATCTCGTACCACGTCCGAAAAATTTTTTGACGTGTCACTAAAACGCATATATAACTACGGTTGACCTCACCCCCACCCCCCGTCCTTACCGTTTCAAATGCTGGAAATTTATTTAAAAAAAAAAAAAAAAAATTTTCGGGAATGACTTGTTCGATTGACATCGTAACAATTATCATTATCATTATTATTATTTATATTATTATTATTATCGAGGCTTTAATGAAAAGAATAATAAGTTGCCAAAGGTTTGCAAAAAAAGGAAGGAAAGGAAAAATCGTGATGGAATTTAATAATGAAAAAAAAATTTTTTTTTTTTTATCGTTTTCGTTTCGTGCCAAATTTTCATTATTATTATTATTATTATTATTATTTTTTAATCAATCAATCAATCATTCCGATAGTGTGTTATTCGTTTTATGAATGAAAATGAAAAAAAAAAAAAATATCGGAGTACTCTTTTGAATAATAATAATAATAATAGTAATGTTCGCCCAAGTATTCACTTAATAGGTTTAAATATTTATTTATTTTTATTTTATCGGTTTCGATAAGTGGAGCAAAATTTTAACGTGTACGATCGATGAACGTGGCATTAACTAAAAAGAAAATAACAAAAACCGGATGTTAACACCTTTTATGTAATTTTCCGACGCGGTTATTAAGTTTTAAATAATTTTCTAACGACTTTTTTCATTATTATTATTATTTATTATTTATTATTACGTTAATAGTTTATTTTTTTTCTTATCGTTATCAGTTATCACTCATCTATTTAAATATTAATTAATTAATTTTATATAATTTAGTCATTATTATCGTCATCGAAAAAAAAAAAAAAAAAAAAAAAATCTTTCAAATGAAAATTTAAATTACGCCTTAATTTTCAAATGCATGACAAAAAGTATAACTTTAAAAAATCAGGGGCGGAAAAGAGGACTAAAGCTAGATAAATAATGGGAAAATATTTTTTTTTTTTTTCTTATCGGAAAATTCTTATCAGATTTCAAACGTATCTTTGGAAAATTTATTTCTAGTGGGTTTCTAGAAGTTTCCATTCGCGCACTTCTTACAAAAAAAAAAAAAAAAAAAAACTTCGTAACAAATACATATATTTGTTTTTTAACGATAAAATCAGACGCGACTAAATTTCAATAACAAAAAATATTTCGAGGACCCCCGATAACATTAAATTCGATAAATGATGATGATTATTTAAGTTTATTTTTTTTTTTTCGTTTTTATATCGCGAATTAAATTCGTTTCCGTTTCCGTTTACGAAAAACAAATATGGTAAAAGGAGGGTAATAAAATAAAATTAATTTAAATTTTTTTTTACATCGATTATTATTATTATTATTATTATTATCGAACAACATTTACACTAATAATAAACATATATATATATATATATACTTTATATAATTAAATTTTAAAAGGATTTTAATCGGTCATCTTCATCGTCATCTTCTTCTTCTTCTTCTACTTCTTTTCAACCATTTAAATGCGTCAGGCAAACGTTTATTATTATTATTATTATTATTATTATACATTAACAACGTACAAAGGTTAATTACATAAAAAAAAAAAGTTCACGCGGGGGGAAGAGAGGGTGAGGAAACGGCCTCTTTTTTTTTTTTTTTTTTTTTTTTTATAAACTACGATACTATAATAATAATTATTATTATTAAAATTATTATAGTTTGCAATCGGACGAAAAAAACAAAATGGCGGCGGCGGCGACGGCGCCGCCATTTTGTTTTTTTTGTTTACATTTTCGGGGAAGGGGTTAGGAGACAGGTGGTTAGGTGACGGGAAAAATTTGTCGAATCTTTTTTTCTATTTAATTATTAATTTGTCCGCGTGGCGCGCTCGCGTCGTTTTGCCTGTTTTCAAACGTAAGAAAAATTATAAAAAAAAAAAAAAAAAAACGCGGGTTATATATATATATAAATACCTTATCGATAACTGGTAACAATTAATTAATAAATTATCTACAATAATAATAATAATAATTTACAATAATAATAATAACATATTTAGTAAAAAACAAAATCAAAAAAAAAAAAAAAAATTCGACACTTATCACGTAATAAATAAATAATAATAATAATGATAATACGTAATTAATTTTTTTTTATAATAATAATTATTATTATTATTATTAATTATTTTTTTTTTTTCTCTCTCTTTCTTCGTTTAACTACAAACATCGACATTACAATCTACTACGACTCGACTCTTGTTTGTTTGTTTATCTAATATTATTATTATTATTATTAATAATACATAAAATTTCAAAATAAATAAATAATGATAATAATAATAATAATAATAGTGAAAAACAAAATCCGTCTAAGTTTTTTTAAAATTTTACATATGTTAACACAATAATAACATCACCGGAAATTATTATTATTATTATTATTATTACTATTATTAATATTAATAATATTATAAATAATCTATTCGAATTATTAACGATATAATAAATAAATTAATAAATAATGTTAATTACGATAATTAATTAATTTTTGATTATTACGTAACGCAAAAAAAAAAATCAAAACAATTTAATTCAAAGGTTGTTTAACTTGGGTAAATATCAATTACTAGGGGGAAGGGGGGGCGGAGGGAAGAGAAGGGGTACCAACCTAATCCGAAAAACTATTTAAACTAAATAACAACAACCTATTAATTTTATCATTATTATTATTATTAATTTAAACGTTTTTTTTTTTTTTTTTTTAATTATTTCATTATTATTATTATTTTTTTGTTTTGTTTACGTACCCTCAATGTTCCTTACAAACAAACAAACAAACAAACGAACAAACAAACAAAAATTTGTTTTATTTTAAATATAAATAAAATAAATTTGTTACAATTCAACGGAACGTTTTATTTTATTTTATTTGTAATGAAGATTTAACACGTTAAAAATAAAAACATAAGAGAGAGAGAGAGAGAGAGAGAGAGAGAAAGAAAGAGAAGGAAGATATAGACAAAAAAAAGGCAGAGAAAGATAGAGAGAAAAAAAGGCACTAAATATAAATAAATAATTTTTTTTTTAAATTTTTAACGCGGAAAATTCAATATAAAATAATTTCTCTCGCGTCGATTAATCGATTAATCGATCGATATATCGATTCTCTATTTGATTAAACGTGACTTTTTTAATAATAAATACTTTGCCAGGGTTTTCGAAAAGAAAAGCTTCGAAAATAATACTTTAAACTGGGGGGGATTATGATGATGATGATAATAATAATAATAATAATGATAATGATCGACGGCGATTCTATTCGGAAAGAGAAGAAAAAAAAAAAATAATAATAAATTAAAAATGGCGAAACTGCGATTCATTTTGTTCCCATTTTTGTTGTTGTTCTTTTTAGCGTTGTCGTCGTTCAAATACGACAAACAAATTTTGCTCTTTTAAACCGTCAATCCAAGTATTCCTCGACTTTCCAATTGTTGTTTTAATGTGTTGAATATAATCAATTGTTCTTCCGGTTTCAAATTGTATATTTGCTGTAGGATTTTCTGAGGCGAAGCAGAATTTATTATGAACGACGATATGTAAACGTTCACGAACGTCGCCATTAGATACTGACAATCGAACCTGTCCATTATGCCACCGTGACCGGGAATAACGTCGCCGAAATCCTAACGAAAGAAATAATGATAATGATAATGATAACAATTCGAACGCGAAAACGGTTAAATCGAATCCCTCACTTTTATTTTAAACGCTCTTTTAAATCCGCTTGCGAAAAATCCACCGAAAGGTCCGATGACGGAACTGAATAGTGACATGCTCAAAGAATGTAAAAGAAACGGATAAATCGTTACCGTGTTTTTCAAATGAAACTGCAACAATATTAATAATAATAATTTAACCGGTTAAACGTAGGTACGAACGAGAGACATTCATTATTATTATTATTATTTTACCAGCGATAGTATTCCGTGTAACGTTTCAGGTAGAGCATATTCCGTCGGCCTGAACAGGGGACCAGGTTCGCAATCCATGCTCATGCGACCAAGGGTTTCGCTGTATTCTATTGGACAAACGAAATAACGATACTGGCACAGAAAATACGATGCCTGAAAAATATATTTCAACCGTATGGGGTAAGTAAATTAGCTTTTCATTCGTTTCGACGATCCAGAAGAAGAAGAAGGAAAGGAAAAACTCACGCAAAGACCGAAAATGATTGTGGCAACACCTCCCCCAATAAATCCTTCCCATGTTTTCTTCGGTGAAAGTTGAATAAGAGGAGTCTTACCCAAAAAGAAACCGAATATGTAAGCCCATACGTCATTGCACACGATCATCGAGACAGGTATGATAAACCTGGTGAGAAAAAATTCATTATTTATTGCTATTATTACTACTACTACTACAACAACTACTACTATTACTACAACTATTACTACAACTACCACTACAACAACTACTACTATTACTACAACTACTACTACTATTACTACAACTACTACTACTACTATTACTACTATTACTACAACTATTACTACAACTACTACAACTGCTACAACTACAACTACTACTACTACTACTACTACTACAACCATCACGTACCATATCAATCCTTGAAATATATTTTGCATTATCAGGTAACTTTGTGTGACTACAATTAACAGAGCGACATGAGTCCAAGCGAATAAGGAAAATTGTTTCATGTAATATTTTTTGACTAGAGATAAAACAAACCAAACAAAACCGACAATGTAAAGACTAAATGAAATAAAACGATGATAGGTAATCAAGAACCTTAAACTATCCTGTAATTACAAAGAAAAAACATTAATTAAATGTTTATCATTTTAGTAATTGTAACAATCGATCATTGGTATACTACTACTCACAGTACGACTTGCCACACCGAATAAATCGACTAAACTTTCACCGTAGAAAAAATAATTTGATGTGACCAAAAAATACCAAGACAATGATCTGAACCATGGGAGTCCATGAATTCTATACACTAAATAACCAATGTCGATAATTTCTTGAAAGCATTTAACTTGAACAATTAATGTCTGCAATTGTTAGTAAGTAACAAACAAACAAAATTAATTATTTCATTTATAAGCAAAAATTAAAAATTTCTTTCTACTTACAGCCAACATTAAAGCTACAGGTCCACCATAAATAACAATACCAAATATTGCAATTAAAATCCATGTGAATATACCACGAATTATCCAATTTCTCCATCTGACAAATGGAAACATGAAAAATGTTCGAATTAGTCGATTAAACCGAAACAAACATTAATACATGTGTAAGATAATCGATGAATGTACTCACCTTTCTGGTACTTCAGAAAGTAATGATTTCAATAGCATGGGTACTTTATCAGTACCCTGAGGAATACCCACTGCAGGTGCAACATTTTCAGGACTTTTGTCATCTTCCGAATCGAAATCTTTCTACAAAATCATAAGAAATGTTATTATTATACAATTATCGCCATCGTCGTTGGATGTGATAAAACGTCGTTACATAATAATAATAATTATACAGGAAAAAAACAAAAATCGTAAGTAAATTATTAAATTATTTAGATGATAATAATAATTAAAAAAAAATAATAATAATAATAATAATAATAAAAGTTCATTCAAAAAAATTTTTAATTTCAACAATTTGTCAATAATATCAATATTTTATCTGACTGAATGATAATTTTAAATTAATACTAACTAGTCTCATTTAATTATTATTATTATTATTATTATTATTATTATTATTATTATTATTATATATTTAAGTAATGAGAAAATGATTAGAGAAAAATGACAGATGCGATCAATTTCTAATGTCAACAAAACAATAATAAAGGGCAGGAAATACATAAAATTGTAATAAGGAGGAGAATGTAAATGAAATTTGTTTTTTTTTTATATAAATGGCGTCACGCTTGAATAATTTCATAACGTTTAATTTATATAAAAAAAAATTAAAACTTACACCATCGCTGTCAATTTCCGAACCTTTTTCATCTGTCAAAGTTTCTGGTTTTCTCAAACGTAAATCAGACATTTTGAAAATGAAATTTCGTTCTTCTTCTTCTTCTTCCCCGAATTAAAAGCAAATTTTTTTAATTCGCCTTTTTTTTATTTCTCACGAATTTCTTTCAAAAATTTTCCCTTATTCGAAATAAATAATTTAATTAAAAAATTAACATTTGAACATTTTCACCCTCGGTTAATAATTAAATAATAAATAATAATAAATATGAACGAATTCATCTTTTTTTTTTTCTTTTTAACCGCACATAATCATTTTGAATTAAAAGTTTTTCCACTGCCTTCTTTAAAAAACTTTTAAAAATACGATCGATCGATTTAATTTAACCAGTCATGTTTGTTTTAGGCGCGAGAAATCATTTCAACATGGACGTCGTCGCATCGTTAATTTTTTTCTAAACTTTTTTTTTTTTTTTTTTTTTTACAAAAACGATTTGATTTACGTTTGGAAAATGTGTAAAATTAATTGGATTAAGGTAAGAGAAAAATAATTTTCATTTTTCGATTTCGTCTCGCATGGAAAACGTGAAGAAATAGAAAAAAAAAACGTTACAACGTGTGTAATAATTGAACGTGTATTAAAAGTTAAAAAATTTATAAAACAAACAATTTTCAACGACAAACTCGTTTGTCGTAATTAATCATTCTATTCTTTTAAACAACAACAACAAACAAACGTTTAATCAATATAAAGTTTAAAAACAAAAAAACGATAAAAGTAATGATAATAATAATAATTATAGAAAAGGGACATGAAAAATTAAACCGCGTCGATTTTTTTACTCGTTTTTCTTTTTAATATAACGTCCAATGCTTTTTTCAGGTTTTCATTAACGCCATAATGTTGAGTGTGTATAACGTGAACTCTACAAATCGGACAGTTGTAAACGTTAACGCTCAAAGATCTGAAAAAACAATCGATGCAAAAACTATGTTTGCAACTCAAAGTAATTGGATCATTTAAAACGTCGCAACAAATGGGGCAAGTAAATATTCTTTTAACGGTTTCCACAAAGGCTTCATAACCGTTTTCAATACTTTGTTTGGCTTCTTCCCACAAATGAACATTTCCCTCATCGTTTTTTATCAATTCTTCAAAATTCGAATTGATGATGACGTCATCATCATCATCATCCCCCTCATCATTTTGATTTTTCTTTTTAACGGCTTCGACAAACACGCGTAATATTTCATAATTTGAAAAATGTTTTTCTACATCGTTCCAAATTTTACCATTTTTTGGTATTTCTTTAATTACCTTTTCGTCATCTGAAAAAGAAAAAACTTTTCTTAAAAACGATTTTTTTTTCCCATTCTTTTTCAAATGGAATAAATTTTTACCGAATTGTTTACGACGTTCTATATTTTCCGATTTGTTATTTATTTTTCCTTTTGATTTATTTTTCAATGGCGAAGTTTGTACATCCAAACGTGGTTTTTTACCCTTTTCCTCTTTTTTCTACACATATAAAATCATTAATGATAAACGATTCGAAACCGGAAATGGTTTAAAATTTACTTATTAACTCACTTGTTTTTTAATTTTATTTTTTAACTCCAATTTAGCTCTGCGTGTTTCGTTATTACACTTTGGACAATACCTTTTAAAAAAAAAAAAAAAAAACAAAAATGTCATAAAATATTTATATCGATAAATAAAATTCAGTTAACACATACCAATCTTCATCATCTGGTAATGTTTTCAGGGGTGGATCGACACAATAACTGTGATACCAACAATCACATTCGTCACATTGAACAGTCAATTCGAAATCTTTTTTATTTCCGCATTTACAACAGCAACATGTTTTACAATTGACTTTCGGTTTGTTTCTACATTTCTTACAATATTCTAAAACAGGAGAGAAAGAGACGGAAGGAAATCAAACAGGTATTTAAAAAATTTCAATTCGATGAAATAACATTATTTACCAGGTTTGACACCCGTTTCATAACCTTCCCCTTCTTTTTCTTTTAATGTTGCATGCGGCCTAATTTCTAAAACATCTGAAACATTATCTGAATCGATTTTAACAGGTATTTTCTTGGAACTACCATCGTAACCGACCAATAATATTCCTTCTAAGTAAACCGTGTCATTCCTATAAAAAACCATTTTGTCATGTTGATTTTGTGTGCCTGTGTGTCACCATACCTGTTTTAATCAAGGTTCATTCGAATAATAAATACCTTTTTTGATAGTTTTCAATGAAATAATCATACCAATATCCCCACTGTTTAGGTTTTTCTATATTATAATTGATGACAACTTTCATGCCGACTTTTAATTTATCCCAATCAATCGATGAATATGACACTTGTCGTATTTGCCATAATTTTCTGTCGACAATTTCCACTTCTCCACCCTCATCCCTTATCAAAATAGAAGAAAACTTATTATTTAATGTTTATTTACTTTAAGAGAAAAAAGATTTTTTTTTGATCATTCACCCATCAAAAAGTAGTTTGTAAGTACAGGTACAATCATCTTGACAATCACATTTCGAACTGGGTGATATATCAATTATATCAGCACTGAACCAAGCACCTGAATCATCCTTAATCGTTTCTACTTTATCACCTATCTAATTAAATAAAATAATAATAATAATAATAATAAAGCATTAGAGAAATTTTCCACGATGTATTTAGCCATTAAAAAAAAAAAAAGAAAAAAAAAAAACGACGCTACCTTGAATACAAACTAAGTGTCATTTAATAATAATAATAATGTGAGAGATGATTCGAATCCGGGAAGAACAGGAATAATAGTTTATTACCACAAAACTATGACATTATATCCAACCTACCTTGTAAAAAGGTTCGACCTTGATCTTTGATAATTCTCTATTTGCTTTCATGTTTGTTTTATATATCCGAAAATTTCATCCTACGTTTTTTGTCCCCGTAAGCACTTTTTTAAACAATGCTTTCTGAAGGTTTGAAATGATGTAGGGTACCAACTTTGATTTATTATTTACATTATTTCCTTAATAATTTTTTAAATAAGTTAAATTAACTAAATGTTTGATTTATCATCGTTTTAACCGTTTTCATCATCATTATTATTATTATATCCGATGTAATTATTATTATTGATAAATTACACGGAATTATGTAACGTTATAGGCGAACCGAAATCAACGTTATTAATTTATTTTATTATTATTATTATTATTATTATTATTATTAATAATAATAATCTTTGATTATTTATTTAAATTAAAACATTTAAAAAACTAATAATAATAATTATGATGATAGCATTTCAAAAAATCCAATTGAAGTTTATGTGAGCTTTGAAAACAAAAAGATTCCGAAGGTTTAAAAAAAATTAACGGGTGGCAACCCTGTAAATACGTTATTAGGTTTAATTGAACCTTTATCAGTAACGACTTTTTTGAAACAATGTAACGGTCGACGACGCGAGTTGTAATTTTTTTTTTTTTTTTTTTTTATGTTTTTTTCGTTTGGATTTTGTAAAAACTTTTTCAAAGAGGGAAAATTTATTATTATTTTTCAAAACAAACGTATTATTATTATTATTTTCGGGGTTGTACCATTGAAAAAAAAAAAAAAAATGTTTGAAAAACCGAAACCTTGTAAAATAACCGGAAACGCGTATTTCTTTGTAAAATAATGATAATCATCAACGTAAAAGATAATAATAATAATAATAATTAATTGCATAAAAATGGAAGTTGAAAAAAAATTAAGAGAAATTAATAATAATAATAATAAATAGAAAACAATCGATTTCGGTTACGGGTTATTATCATTATTATTATTATTATTATTATTATTATTATTATTATTATTATTATTATTATCGCGATTACTTTTATCGGATTATACGCATATGGATGATGTATCGAGTTTTTGTTTTAAAAAAAAAAAATTTCAATTTTTTTTTTTTTTTTTTTTTTTTTAGACGGTTATCAATGTCAATCAATAAAAATTTTGAAATATTTTTTTTTTAAATAGGCGGGGGAGGGGGCGGGGGAAAATGTCGAACGAATACAAAATAAATTCGTTTAATTACTCTATGATGACTCATAAGGGATTAATTCCATTAATAAATTTTAATTCTATTATAGGAAAAATAAAATTTTTTTTTTTTTTTAAGGCGGATATGACAATTTTGCCCTTCGAGTAAATAATTTAAATTTAAAAAAAAAAAAAAAAAGTTGTTTTTATTTAAAAAAAATTTATCATTTCATTTTAAACGTTTAAATATCAAAAAAAAATTTAAATTTAAATTTACAAAATTTCGCAACGATGAATTTTTTTTTAATGGCTGCTATCAATGACTTAAATTTTTTTAATTTGATTTAACAAACAGGTTTTTATTTAAACGTGTGAAAAAAAAAAAATTTTCCCGCCATTTTAAAATATTAAATTTATACCTGCGTGTGTGTGTTTACATTTAATATTTATCTTACCTTATTTCACAATAATGTTGAACTTCCAAAAAAAAAAAAACATTTGAATCGATTTATATTTATTTCGTTCTCATTATTATTATTATTATTATTATTATTATTATTATTATTATTTAACGACTTTTATTAATTTAATTTTTTAATATTATAAATTTTAATTTGCTGACATTGTAAAAAAATTTTTTTAATTTTCCCACGGGTCGATGAATCGAAAATGAAGGATTCAAAAAAAAAAAAATTGTTAAAACCACGACGAAATTAAATCGGGAGTAAAAAATTTATAATTTAATTTTTTTTTTTTTTAATTTCAGGTTGAAACGAGAGAGAGAGAGATAGAGAGAGAGATGGAAAACAACAACAAAAAAAAATTATCCGTTGTGAAATTTTTTTACCGTGGAAGGAGAAAAAAATAATGGAAAACAAAATCGCGGAAATCGAAGAGGAAAAATATCGTCAATTTTTATTATTACTATTATTATTATTATTATTATTATTATTATTTTCTTTTTTTTTCGAAGAAGAAGAAGAATGTAATCAGGTACCGTGACACAATGATGATGATGATGATAATAATGAATAATATTTTTTATTATTTTGAAGGCGTTCGATTATTTAATTGTTTTTTTCTTCGCATTAAGAATGAATCAGCTTGTGATACGTCCGTCAATTTTTAAACACATTCATCATCATCATCATCATCATTACCATCAGCATCAAAATCTCCATCATCATCATCAGCATCAAAATCTCCAACGTTATAATCATCATCATCATCATCGTCTTTATCATCATCATCATCATCACTATCATCATCATCGTCATCACCACCACCATCATCATCAGCATCCCCATCATCAGTATCATCATCACTATCATCATCATTACCATCAGCATCCCCATCATCAGCATCATCATCACTATCATCATCATTACCATCAGCATCACCATCATCAGCATCCTCTTCATCAGCATCAGCATCTCCATGATCATCATCCTCACCATCATCATCATCTGTATCCTCTTCATCAGGATCATCATCATCAGTATCCCCATCATCATCCCCATCATTAGCATCAGCATCATCATCATCATCATCGTATACATTCATGATTAATCTTAATTCTTCTAACACGTCATTCATCAACAAAATAATAATAATAATTTTTATTGTAGTTGACAAATGACTGCTCGATTCAAAATCAAAGACCGAATGATAAGGATTATATTGGAACCACGTTGATGACGTAACAAGTCAATAAGGAGGAAATTCACCTGTTTTACATATAATTTTCCTACCTTTTCATATATGGCTACATGTGGACGGGGTGTTAGACGTGAAAAATGACGTTAATTTTTTTAATATTTGATAACACGGGTAGGCAGAGGTAGATGATTAGGAAGATGACCTTGAAACTCGGTCAAGCACGTGAGAATTTTTTTTTTTTTTTCACGTTAATTTTAATTGTTTATAATAATATTTAAATAAAAAAAAACCCACAAAATCGTCGTTTTGTAGTCTAAATTAAAAATTTTTTTTTTCCAGGTTCGTTTCGATTCCGACTCGTACAGCGATAAAAATGTCTAAAGTGGAAATTTCTAGAAATTGTGTGTGTTGGAGCCGTTGCAAAACATTTTCCATTCATCTCAAAACTTTTCGTTTTGTTTTAAGGATCCAATCGCTCACATCCTATCACATCCGGTGAGTACGTTGTTCCATATAGAAGAATTCCGATGACCGTCAGACCGGAAATAATCATCTTACGCAACAATATGATTCCGACCAATTAAAAAAAAAAAAAAAATTTTTTTTTCAAAGATTTATTTATTTATTTATTATTATTATTTTTACATACAATGGACAAGTGGACATGACCCCAGAAAATTATTATTATTATTATTATTGTTTTTTTTCGTTCGTTGGTATCTTTCTTTTGTTTTTTTTTTTTTTATTAATCAGGTTCACGATCCGTGAATTTTTCTGACGGTTTTCCTTTTGAATTTTGCGATAAATTTTTTTTTAGTTATTGAGACATCTTTGTTCTTTATTTATTTATTTTGTGTTTTTTGTTTAAACATTATTGTTATGAAAGGAATGTGAACAAGAGTTAAGAGTAGTACTTAAGACATATTTATTAACGTATTAAATTCATTTCTTTTATTTTTGTTTCGGGCTACAGTTAAAAAAAAAAAAATTTAAGTCGGTTATTTTTGTGTCCGTTATTTAAATTTAAATTTAAAAAAAAAGGAGGGAAAATCAAAATATGCAGTTTTAGTGTTTAAATTTTAAATTTTAAATTTTATTTGATTTTAAATTTTGTTAAAAATGATTGAAAAATTATTATTAATTTTTTTATCTTGTGCCACGTTTTATCATTATTGTTCAGGACAAAATATAAATAGTCCCGCTTTGGATTGGATACAAACGGACGGAAGTGGAGCTTACAGATACGGATATAGTACGGGTGATAAGGGAAGACATTATCATGTACAATCGGCAACACCGGATAATACGGTGTCTGGAAAATTCGGGTGAGAAAAATTTAAATAAAAAAAAGGATTTTTGCGATGATGAAAGTTTTTAAAAAAAATGATAATATCATACAGGTATAAAGATCCAGGAACTGGAAAAGATCTTCAAACGACTTATACGGCTGGAAGAAGAGGTTTTAGAGCAAGGGGACCACATATAGCGAGAAGAATGGATTTATCACAAACTAGGCCACCCTTTTCCAGGTTTGCACATTTTTTTTAATTTTGTCAAGTTTGTCAAACTGGTGTAAAGGGGGGTAGGAAAGGAGAATCATTTTCATTTTTTGTTTTCAGGCCTGTCGACGATGGAAAATATCATCCGGAATATGATAACATATTCGATCCGAACGAAGATAGAGGCTATGATTTCACATACAGGACATCGAATCACATAAAAGAAGAACATGCGAATAGAGTAGGTGATGTTCAAGGCAGGTTAGTATTTTCGATACTCAATCTCTTGCTACCCTTTTCAAAGGAGAGAAAATGTCGTTCAATTTATTGCTTGCACCGCATTAACTAATTAGTGATTTAAATAAAGAAAACATTTTATCACGCAGAAAGTGAAAGAAGGATGATAAATAATTTTCTCGTCTTCTGACACGTTACTTTTGTGTCGGAAATCTATGTATTTATTTAATTTTACATCCCTTATTAGGTATTCTTACCTCGATGATATCGGTATAAGACATAACGTTCATTACACGGCTGGATCAAGAACTGGATTCGTCGTGTCAAATCCTGTTCCTGACACGTTTGCACAAGCAAGAGGTGGACCTTTATATTACGTCGTAAGTTTTTATCAATAAATATGTATTGATTTATCGATTGTGCCAGAAAAAATGATGATTTTTTTTTGTTTTGAACAGGGAAAATCAGGTGGTTCGAAAGTAAGAGGTTTTTCAGCTTTTCAAAAAGATTTAAATGGTGCCTACAGGTTTTTAGCATCCGGTCCTGATCATAAAAGAAGTGAGGTATGATTAAAACTCAGAAGTGATTCGATTAATTTTTTTTTTTTTATTAATTTTTGTTTTCCGTTACAGATAAGTGATTCGTTTGGTAATCGCAAAGGGATTTACACTTATCTGGATGATAAGGGAATACAACACACGGTCGAGTACATAGCAGGACCCAAAATCGGGTATAAGGTTATTAATAATAAAAAGGGAGTCAATTATAATCCCATATTCCCTTTTTTTCCCGATACTCCGACCGTTTTACCCCTGTTTCCCTTGCCTTCGAATCCGGGTTCGAGTGGATTTTCCACGACCGCGACTCCAATCACAACTCCGGATACTTTTCCTTCGGTTACGTCCGGTGGATCGACCGGATTTTCGACGCCGTCTTCTTCCGGTTTAACCAACGATGGATTTGGTGGTTCTAGACCTTCCGTCGGAATTTCACCATCGGGATCTTTAGGAGGAGGAAATGCTGGTCCGAGCGATTTCGGAAGCGGAAGTAATGAAGATTTTGGTAACTCGAACAGCGGAGAAACAGGCTTTGGTTTTGGTAATGCTGGAAATAAGGGAAGCGGTTTTGGAAATGGTAATTCCGGAAGTGGTGAAAGCGGTGAAGATTCAGGAGGATTCGGTGATGGTAACGAAGGGAGCAGTTTTGGTAGCGGTGGTGTAGGAAGTGGAGGTTTCGGTGGAAATAAGGGAAATAAAGGTTTTGGTGGGGGAAACGGAAGTGGGGGTTTTGGTGGAGGTAGTGGAAGTGGGGGATTTGGTGGGAATAAGGGAAATAAAGGTTTTGGTGGAGGAAGCGGAAGCGGGGGATTCGGTGGAAATAAGGGAAATAAAGGTTTTGGTGGGGGAAGCGGAAGCGGGGGATTCGGCGGTGATAGCGGAAGCGGGGAATTCGGCGGTGATAGCGGAAGTGGGGGTTTCGGCGATGGTGGCGGAAGCGGAGGTTTTGGCGGTAATAGCGGTAGCGGGGGTTTCGATGGAGGAAGTGGAGGTTTCGGTAGCGGTAGCGGGGGTTTTGGCAGTGGTAGCGGAAACGCTGGTTCTAATAAAGGAAATAAGGGGGGTAATCGTAATAATAAAAATAAAAACGATGGAAACTATGGAGGAAATATCAAAGGGGGTGGAAAAGGTAATTCCTTCGGTGTAAATAGCGGGTCTGGAGGAAATAATAATTTCGGAGGTGGAAGTACCAATTTTGGAATCGGAGGTGGTGGAAACTCTTTTTCATCAACGAAACCCAAACCAATTAATAAAAAACCACCCTCTAATTTATTTACACCTTCCGAAAATCCATTTTCAGCATTCGGAACATCCGACAAATTCGGTCAATCAGGTGGGAAATTTCCATCATCTACGTTTTCGCCTTCTCCAACTTCATCATCATCGTCATCATCTTTCGGGTCAAAAAACAAAAATAAAATCGATTCCGTTTCCCCGACCTGGAGTTACGATTTCGATTATTTTTTCTCCGATCCTTCAACTTCGAACAAAGATTGGTCTAAACCCATAAAAGGCGGATCACAAAAGCCATCCTCGACTCCAAAACCATCCGGCGGCGATTCATTTTCAGGTTTTTCTCCATCGCCTTTCCCGGAAGTAAACATCGAAGGTTCAAGTTCTTTCGGCGGAGGAGGTTTGAGCACGGCAGAATCAGGCACAGGATTGAAACCCTCACCCGTCGGCGGAACAATACATAAGAATGTCACAAGTATCGAAATCGGACAAATGCCATTATCCGGAAGTAGTTTGGACACTAGCAGTGGAGATGATAAAGAGGAAAGGGAAGGCGGCGGAAGCGGTGGCGGGAGCGGCAGCGGGGAAGAGGCATTTTTCACGACGGGTTCAAAACAAGATTCGTCAAAACAACACCATCATCATTACAAAGGTCACAAAGGTTTGAGCTTTCCATCAAGAGGAACCGTTAAATTCAAAGGAATCAAAACAAACGATTGGCACAAAATAACAGAAGAAGATGGTTACATATCCATACCACCCGGTGTTGCCGTTAGAGCTCACGTTCAAAGTTTGGACATTGTACCTTTTCATAAGAAATATTTATCACCCGGTGAAGCATTGCACCACCACCATCACCACCACGATCACCCTCACGATCACGATGGTGACAAAAGCGATGAAAAAGAAATTTAATTGTCACCAATCATCATTTTCATTTAAGTAAGATAATATTATTAAAATATATATAATTAATAAATAAAAAGGGTAAACGATGATAAACATTATGTTTCACGAGGTTATCAATCGTTATCAAACATTCATTTCCGGTTTCCTATTTGGATTTTTTTAACAACGCAAAAAAAAAAAACTAAAACCGTTTAAAACGTGTACAATAAATTAAAATTAAATTTTTTTTTCTTTTTTTTTTACTTTAATTAATTTTTCTTAGATTCCAGTAAAATTTACGACTGCCAACATTACAAAAAAAAAAAAAAAACAATAAACCGAACTTGAACCCTAAAAAATAAATAAATTAAAATTTGTAATATAAATTATATATTTTATTTAATATTTTATAAGAATTAATATTTTTACATAAGGTCACATGATTAATAATGATAATGATAATGATAATAATAATAATAATAAATGGCAATAAGTCGTAAAAAGAAACGAAAGAATATATATACGTATTGTTTCGTTATTTAAAAATCTCTCTCTCTCTCTCTCTCTCTCTCTCTCTCTCTCTCTCACACACACACACACACACACTTGACGGTTAAAAAACGATAAAATTTAAATTTATTATTCGCGAACGTTTTAATTTTTTAATTTTTTTTTAACGGATTTTTTTTAATCCCTGAAAAATATTTCATAATAATAATAATAATAAATAAGGGATAATAATAATAATAATAATAACGAGTGTATACTTCCCCGAAGGAATTTAAAAAAAAAAAAAAATTCGATATATCGAAATCGTTCGAGACTCGAACTCGAATTAAAATCGATATAAATTCGATAAAGTAAATAATTAAATTTTTTGAAAAAATTTACACACACACACACACGTTTTAAACGTTAACGTAAAAAAAAGAAAAAACCGGAAACGTGTTATGATAACCGGAAATAGTTAAATTTAAAAAAAAAAAAAAAAATTAAAGCAGACGAAATAGAATAAAATGTATTACATTCTCGTCAATAAAATAATCCAATCGTTTTTTTTATTTTAAAAATATAAAATTATTTATATCCTCGTAAAAAATAATGTTTTGATTTTATTGAGGACGTTAACAACAACTTGTTACAGTAAATAAATAAATAATAATAATAATAATAATAATAATAATAAAAAGCCAACGGCCATAGCGTGCTGGTCACACCGGTTCCCGTACGATCACCGAAGTTAAGCAGCATCGGGCGTGGTGCAAACTTGGATGGGTGACCGTCTGAGAACGCCACGTGCTGTTGGCTTAAAAGAGTTAAAAGAGCAAAAAAAAAAAAAATGAGAACAAGACAAAGTAAGAACCAAAAAACAAATCTTGTTCTACTGTCGACCTGAGGCAGCTCGACGAGAACGTGAATTTCACTGCTTCTGACCCTGGCCACTCCAAAGATGTTAGTCACCGGAGCCCAGTTCAGGAGACAAATCGTTCCCATCGAAAAAGACGGACTCAGGAAGACCTTCAAGAATTGATGTGGTGCTATCTTATAATAAGTGGCACCACCGAAATTCGAGTATTTGTCCCTAAGGAATCGGGTAGAAACCTCGGATAAATACTTAAAAACTCCGACAAGTAGCCTTGTCGTGTTTAATGGTGGATAATAATAATAATAATAATTTAATACATATAAAGTGATAAGAGATAATAAAAACTACAACTACTACTACTACTACTACTTTCAAAAAACGTTTAAATATCAAAAGTTTTTTTTTTATAATAAAATTATTTATTTATTTTATGTGTTAGAGTTCATTAACACATTAAAAAAAAAAAAATCTCTCATGTCATTATTATTATTATTATTATTTATGCGTACCGAGGGGGGAAAAGGGTGGGGTGGAATGGGGGGGGGACGGTAAAAACCTTTTCTAAAACCTTCATGATAATGTAATAAAATTAGTCGTCAGTTAATTATGATTAGTCATTCTCATCATCCAGAATCGGGAATGAAATATTAAACGGGAAATTCGGGGGGAGGGGAGGGAGGGGGGAAGAATTTATAAGGATCGATAAATCAATTTTTTTAATTAACGATTATTATTATTATTATTATTATTATTATTATTATTATTCATTCATTTAAACGCAAAAAATTATTTATTGTCATTTTTTTTTTAAATTTAAATATGTTAATTTTAACCTATCTGATAACATTGATAATATTCGTTAGAATACGCGCCATTTTGTTTTTTCCTCCTTCCTCCCCTTCCTCCCCTCCTCCCTTCAATATTTTCCGAAAGGAGAATTTTCACGTTGGAAAACGTTTTTCGAACTAATTAAAAAAAAAAAGAAAAACGTTTTCTCATAAACAAAATGGACGCCATATTTATTTTTCATTGGAAACGTAGTTAAAAATTACGTCACGATTTATTTTATCATCATTATTATTATTAATATCATCGCAATTATTATTAATTATTATTATTATTATTAATTTTTTTTTTTTTAAAATTAATTTCGTTATTAAAAACCGTTTATAATAAAATATTTCGAAATTTTCAGAAAATAATAATAAAATGGACTTGAAACGATTCGAATGACGTCACTCAGACACGACGGCCATTTTGAATTTGTCTTCGTACGACGACGACGACGATTCGTCCGTCGTTTTCAAACGTTTTTCTTTATTGTACTACTACTCCGTGAGAATGAATCGCACGGATTTAAAAAACAAAAAAAAAAAAAGGTACGAACATTTTAATTTTCGATTTAAAAAAAAAAAAAGTAAGAAAATTATTATGTCGTCGTTCGTTTTTCGTATTTTTAATAATTTCCACGAATAAAAAAAAATTTATTTATTTTATAAATTGATACGAAAAAGGGATGATGTGACGACAATGACGTCATAATAATTTTAGCCAATTAAAAAATTCTTCTTTTTTTTTTGTTCACCCTCCCCCCATCGGTAGAATTAGGAACTTTTTAAAATTACAAATTAAAAACAAAAATGGCGTCGCGAATTTTTTTTTTTTTTTTTTTGTTTCACGGCGTGAAAATTAATCACAATTTTTTTTAGAAACAATTTTCATTATTATTATTATTATTATTATTATTATTATTTAAATCGTAACAAAATGGAAAAGAGATAAAAAATAATTTTTAAATTCGAAAAACTAAAAAAAAAAAAAATTCCCGTGACACCTTTAATAGCGAATCGTACCGTTTTGTTTTTCGAAAGTTCGTTATCGATAAATTTTCCGCGAAAAACTGCCTCTCGCTATTAAATATTATCCAAGTCTTAGTTATATATTATTATTACGTTAATAAAATAACAAAAATTATTATTATTAGTCGTCGTCGTCGTAAAGTTTTTCCACTTTTTTTTTTTTATTCGAATTAAAAAAAACGTAATCGGTCGGATACATCGGTAACATCCGTTTATAAAACGACAATTTATTATTATTATTATTATTATATAAAAGAGAGAGGGGGGAGAGGGGAGAGAGAGAGACATTTTAAACTCGTTTGACTTGAACAAAAAAAAAAAAAAAAAAAAAAAGTTTGCTAATAACGAGAATCGACTGGAATTTTTCTACTTACACGAACATAATTCACACACACACATACAAATATTATTATTATTATTATTATAACGACTCGTCAGCGATTTTTTTATTATTATTATTATTACGAATTACAAAATCGAAATTTTATTCAATATGGAGTAGTAGTGGTAGCAGAAATGATTTTTTTTTTTAAAATAGCTCGAATTATTATTATTATTATCTAGTAAAAATTCAATTTCCCTTTTGTCCGCCATTTTGTTTTTTTATAAAAATTTCTAGTATTGCTTGCTTGTATTTAATTTTTAAAAAAACGTGGAATTAGATATCGCCCTTTCGAAATTTTCATTAACGCGATGATGATGATAATGATGATGATAATGATGATGATAATGATGATAATGATGATGATGATGATGATGATGATGATGATGATGATGATAATGATGATAATGATAATGATGATGATGATGGGTGGTAATATGTTCGGTCGTAGTGTCAAGATCACAAGTTCGGTCTTTTTTTTTTTATTTTTTGTTACCTTGTGTCATTTATTTATTTATTTATTTATTTTATTTATAATTTATTACGGTGGTTGAACTTGCGAGAGAGAACCTGCCATTTTACCGACTTGAAAGTTTTTTCTTTCCATTTTTAATTATCGAATTAATTTTTAATCGACGCCATTATTTATAATAACCGTCGGATTTCTGTGTTTGTAATAATGGGGTCAAATTGTTGTTTTCCCCCCTTTTCCCTTACTCCGCTCCTGTTGACCTACATCCTATATATGTATATACAATAAAAAAAAAAATTATTTAATAATAATAATAATAATAGTAACAAACAAGCGGAATAATAAATTTAACGAAACTGATCAAAATGGCGTCGCATCGAAATTTTTCTTTCTCGATGCTGCCAACTTAAATTTTTTAAAACGAATAAATAATAAATTTAAGAAAAAAAAAAAAAAACATAAAAATTTTGTTTTTCCAGGTAGAAAAAAGTAATAATAATAATAATAATAATTTAAACCGAATTTTTTTTCGTTAAATTTTTTTTATAAATATTATTATTATTATTATCATTATTATTATTATTTGAAATGGTAAATTTGTAAGAACCGGATATTCGTGTTTAAAATGAACTTTTTGATAAATTTTCTTTTTTTTTTTTTTTTTTTTTTTTTTTTATTTAAAATTCGCGGAATAAAATAAATAAAAATGCAAAAGTTATTAATTAATGTCGTTTAAAAACACAAAAAACATAAAAATATAAAAACGAGTACTTGGAAAAATAATGACTGGAGAGAATATGACACACACAGAGAGAGAAAGAAAATGAGAAAGAGAAGAAGATATATATGGAGAGAGAGAAAGAATGTAAAAGAGAAAAATAGAAGAATAGAGAAAGAGAGAGAGAGAGACGGAAAGAATAGTAATAGAAGAAGAGAAAGTGAGAAAGA